GAAGCTAAAAGAGAAGCCTGCAGAAATGCTTAAGTTTTAGGCTTTTAAAAACGGTCTGCCAAAAATAAGTGCTGAACGTCACTCTGAACCAGTCTTTCACAAAGAGTCCTTTGTTGTAGGGCTTGCCAACACTTCAGAAGTAATCAGCCAACTTCAGTATGGCAGGCTTAGCTCCCAGTTGCATGGAGCAGTGTTCTCTGATGCAACCAGCTTTGATTTATGTTTGTGAGGGATGAACCCAAATTTCATCAAACCCAAAAACCTGGAGGCCAAGACCCACAGGGAAAAGGCATGTGGTCCAGCAAAGTGCACTTCTTGATTAAATAAAGGGAGGTGATCAAGGGAATTGGAAGAAGCTGGTTTTCAGAGTCCATGAAAAGCCACACAGACATGAGATAACTTTCAGCCCAGACTATCCTAAACCCAGCTATCCTCAGCAGATTCGCCCAGGAGTCCTTCTACATTGAGCTCTCCAGTCCTGCTTCTTTCCTCTGGGATAGGTATACCTGGGACATTTACAGTGGAGGTAAACGTGGGCTGAGCAAGGAGGAATGAGATAAACTCACTGAGTTGAAAAGAAGCCATTCTGCAATCCCCTCACAATGGCCCTGGGAGCTCAGTAAGTGTTTTGTACCTCTTATAAATGTCCCATTGTATGAAGAAGGAAAACCCTCTTCTGGAATTCAGGATCCATTCAGAAGAAAAGAATGTAAAAATCTTTCTGACAGAAGAATGTCACTTTTGCTGGACAACTTTACAGGTTCTTACTACACATCAAATTATGACTATACAACATTATACTATATTCTTGATATGAGTATATTCTTTGTTTTATGTAAATCCAAAGAAAAGTTTTAATTTGGAGGTAGTGGTTCTCTTTATAGTACTTTGATAATATATCATTGCCTTAGTACAATTTAGTTCATTTAGAAGATGAGTTTAGATTTTGAAAAGGATATGTGTGTGTGTGTGTGTATATATATATCATATATATGTATATATATACATATATATGTGTACATATATATATGTATGTATATATATATCATATATATGTATATATATACATATATATGTGTACATATATATATGTATGTATATATATATCATATATATATATATATATGATATATATATATATGATTAGAAAAGTTCTTGAACAATGTATAACAAAATATTGACAGTTTTGCTCCTGGGGAGAAGGGAACTTTTTTTTCACATTATACATGGCTTGACTTCACATGTATTTTTATTTTAGAAAAATAATAATTTGATTTGCTCTCCTCAGTTTTTTTCAGGTCCACAATTATAGGGTAAAGACAGATATAGATGTGTAACTGAGCAGAGTATTTAAGTGGTCAGCCATAGAAAACAGCCTCACCCGGAAAGGTACTATTTACAGCAAAGATCTCATGTGTGTTTCTGAGTCTCCTCTTCCACAGAGACCTCCGCTGTCTTTCCAGAAATATGTCCTGGAGATAAACTACAGCTCGCTCTGGCAGTCACCTTGTCCCCTGATATGTGTGTGCATTCTGCACTAACAGAACACTAGGGGATACTTGTGTCTGTGTGACATCAGTAGCTAAGCCAGTGGGGCCTGCAGTACCTGGGTCACATTCTTTCGACAGACCCCATACCACTGGTCCTGGCAGAAGCCCATTGTCTCCCTCGGTTGTTGCAGTCACCGGGGTGACTGACAAGATCTAAATTTATTCCATCAGCCCAGCAGATGTCTGGTGCATGGATCATGACTACACTGTTTTGGCAAAATTTGTCACAGAAGGAAAAGGGCCAGGTTTCCTGTATCTTGTAGGAGACAGTCAGGGACCCCATGGGGACAAAGGGCAGGTACACTCATAGACCTGACTTGGGGCCTGCTACCCATTAAAAGTATGGCATCTACTCTTCCCTTTACCCCCCACCCCAGACTGTTTTATCAGCATCAAAAATCAGATGCATCATTAAGGCCAGGATGCCCTTGCCATATCATCTCCAAGAATAAACTAGATGAGAAAACAAAACTGTTGGGGATCATCGAAGAGGGACAGAGGACAAACTGTCAGGCCCTTAACCTGTTACTCATTAAAAGCTTGATTTGTGGGCTAGGGATTTAGCTTATTGATGCCATGCCTGCCTCACAAGCAGGGGTTCCTGAGTTCAATCCCTGGTACCAGAAAAAAATAAAAAGCTTGATTTGTATTTTCTCCTGAGGTAGTCAGAAATTTAAAAGCTGCTTTTGCTAAAAACAGTGATTCCTCATTTGGGCTTATGGATGCCCAGTGGGTAGCTAAAAGCAGGACAGAAATTGACATCTATGCTTTCATTTTGTATCTGTCTTATACTCTTTGGGTCAGATCTCTGCTCAGCTCTGCGTAAGGCATGTCACATCATTCAGGGAGCAAGTCTGTCTAAAAACTGGCAATCCAAGGCTGATTACCCCTACATTTCCATAACCTGTCTCAACCCCCTTCAAGACTGAGAGCAGCAAGATAAGATATTTACAGGGACATTCAACTGCCAGTGGGCGTCAAGAAGTCTCCAGTCATTGCCCTAAACCTGCAATTACCTTGGACTCCAACAGAGCCCCTGGAAAAGACTTCTCCAAGCAGAAACAGTCACCTCTCAGAGGCCAGCTTGCCTCCTCCTGGTAAAGACGTCTTCAGAACCACATTGCAAAACCAGAGCTGAGATAATGATCAACCCAACCCTGAGCCACATCAGCAACAGCTTAAAAACTGGCCTCCTGCTTTGTTAATGGGCCCATCTGATCCTCTCCTTCAAAGCTGTGCCCCCTTCAACTCCTCAGGCTGAGGTTACTTCCCCATCTTCTCTTGCTCTCTAATTCTGCCTCATAAATCACTCTGCACCTCTCAGTGGCCTGTCCTGAATGCTTTTCTGTGATGAGATGTCAAGGTCCTTCCCGGGGTAAGTCAAAGTCCTCCTTAGAGAGGGACCTGCTCGGAATCTGGTGACAGGAGCACAATGCTCCTGTGTCGGTGAGACATGTGCATGCAGAAAGAAAACTAGGGCAGGGAAAGGTGTTGGGTGCAGGGGACAGCCACCCCTGGGAGTCAGAATCACAGCTGGGTGGATTCCTTGCTCTGCTAGAGGGAGAGAGTGACCAGTACTGCCAGGGCCTGGGTGAGGAGTGGGCAGCTGGCATCTGATGTGACTTTGAATTTCAAACAAGAGCAGTGCAGCTTCTCAGCTCTCAGAGCCCTTGACTGCAGTGTTTTTGACCCTCCAGGAATTCATGTGGGCCCGCAGGAGATAAGATCAGCAAACCCCAGTGTGGCTGCCTAAGAGCTTTAGAGATATTGGTCCTTTCACTGCCCAGATTATAAACATAGTCATACCCCCTAGCATGATAGATGGTTGTCCCAATTGCTTAGAAAAAATGCTTTTCATAAATTTGTCCTATTTCTTTTTAAATCTCACTAATCCCCTTGCATTTTAGAAACATCCTGAGTAGCATCATCCTCCATTTGTATAACCATTTATGATTTTCACAGTATTTCATATACAGTTGTCCCATTGTATCTAGAGGAGGTTGGTTCCAAGATCCCCTTAGATATTAAAATCCAAGGGACTCATGTCCCTTCTATAAAGGGCAGAGTATTTGCATATAACCCATGCACATTTTCTCATATTTTAAATAATCTGTATATTACTTATAATCCCTACTACAATGTAAACACTGTGTAAATTGCCATTGTGTTGTATTGTTTAGGAAAGAATGAAAAGAGTGTGCATGTTCAGTACAATCAGTTTCTTTTTCCAAGTGTTTTCAATCCTCGTTGAACCTGTAGGTGTGGAAGCTGCAGACACAGAAGTGGTGGATATAGAAGCTGACTGCACTTGCTTCCATTTTGAGCCCTGTGTGATAAGCGTGGCATCCTTATCTTCATCTGTTAAAGTGTCTGAGCCTTAGAAAGACCGAATGATGAATGACATGACGAATGACGCGGGCAAGATCACAAGGCAGTAAACAGCAGGGACCTGAACCTAGTGTTCCTACTCTGTGTTTATTTGCAGTTCCCTTTGTCCTTATCTCTGCACCTCCAAAGGATGGAGGAGGAGACCTTCCCCAACAAATATGCCTAAGAAGGGGTCCCAGGCCTCTGTTGGTACCAAATGCAAGCTGACCCAGACAAAAATATATTCCATCTCTGGTTACTTGTTGGCATCCATGTCCTTGAGACATCTGTAGTTTCCTCAAACTTGTAAGAAACTCCTCTCAGGTGAACAGCCAGATCCTGGCTGAACAGACTGGTCCATCCATGTTATGGAGTTGGAGGCCTTGTTGCAAAGAATGTGGCCACTCTAGGAACTGACCTGGAAATATCTCTGGGGCATATTAAATGAAAAGAGCAAGATGTGGAACAGTGTATGTGGCATGCTTACTTTTGTGGAAAAAAGCAGAAAGAAAGATGCAATGCAGATTTGAATGTACTTCTATCTATAAAAACAATGGAAGACTAGAAGCCAGGCATGGTGGAGCACTCCTGTAATCCTAGCAGTAGGGAGGCTGAGGCAGGAAGATTGCTATGAGTTTAAGGCCAGCCTGAATTACAAAGCAAGAGCTTGTCTCAAAAAAGCCAACCAAACAATCAATAGTTCATTCCTTCGTATTGCTGAGTAGAACTTGCCATTGAACCTTCCACTCACTGAAGGACACTTGGGTCATCCCAAGATTTGGCCATTACAAATAAAGCTACCACAAACATTCATGTATATGTTTTTGTGCGAATATAAGTTTTCATTTCTTTAGGATAAAGTGCCCAGGGTTACATGGTAAGCATATGTTTCATTTTTGAAGAAATTGCCCCAAATAGCATTTTAATCTTTCAAACATATTAAAAACAAAGCAACCACAAAAAACAAATCAAGAATATTAATGTTGAACCTGACCTTATTCCTAAGATGAGGTCAGCAGAATCCCTCGGGTCTGGCCTGGGCAAGTGATGTCAGTGTTAAACCCTGAATCTCTCTTCCCCTAGGTGTGGTACAGATAGTGGAGGTGATTTTGAACGGGATGGTTCTCATGTGCATCGTGGCATCCTACTTTGTCCTTGCTGGATTCAGTGCCAGCTTTGTCAGTGGCAGCGGCTTTGGAAATAACTATTACTCACCATTTGAGGGCAGCGAGCTGGAGGAAGTTCGGCAGCTGGACCAGCAGTACACAGTCCTCCGGTCACCCCTGATATACAGTGGTGTGGCCGTTTCCCTGGGGCTAGGTGTCCTCACCATGGGCGTTCTAATCCAAGGAGCCAAGAGTCTAACAAAACTGCCTGGGAAGTGGCTCCCCTTGGAGGCCATGTTCAGTCTCCTCTCAGCAGTGGGCTACTGCATAGGCATTGGCGTTTATCTCCATGTGGCTTTGCAGATCAATTCCACGGACACTTGCAAAAAAAGAGAGAGGCTGTACGCCCGCAGAGGTCTCACCTGGATGAACTGCCAGCTGGCAGGCACTGATGGAGCAGCAGCCACCTTCGCCTGTCTTCTGGTCATTATGTACGGTATCAGCGTGGTCCTGGCCCTGCGGAGCTACAGAAAACAGAAGCTCTACAAAAACAGCCAAGAACAGCACAGAAATTATAGTGATGCACCAGAATACGTGTGGTCTGGGACACTGTAAGGAGACCTCTGGACCCCAAATGTCAACCCTCTCCCCACTGTTTCTCTCAGAAGGGCAGGTCCTTTAAAACCAGTTAGACAGCTATGGTTTTCACAGACTTGATTTTGTAGGTACTGCCTTTAGTACCAGTGCAAAGTTAAGTAATTGTCTCATTTTTGTGTTGTAAAAGAGATCCATGATTGCTGACCGACTAGATGACAGCTTGATAAAAGTATCCCCTTTCATGCAGAGAGCAACATCAGAAGAGAGGGTACCCTTACTGTAGGGCTCCCTCACCTTAAAGAAATAGCTCACTAGCCAGGGTAATTCTGTAAGTAGATTTCTTTGTTTTTTTCCCTTTTTTCAGTTTTGAGAATCGAACTCAGGACCTTGCACTTGCCAAGCAGGTACAGTACCACTGAGCTACATCCTTGGCCCTAGCTAGGGTAATTCTGAAAGAGGGCAGCAGTTCCAAAGTTCCAGTGGAAATCCTACCTGTCCTGACTGAAGTCATCAGAAGAAACATGCCAACTCCCCCTCTCCCCTGTGTGGTCCCAAAGAAGGATTTTAAAGCAGTTATTCTTACTCCCTCCAAGAGGGAAGCACTCTGCTATTAGAGGGGCTGCCAACAGTGCACCCCAAGTACTTAAGAGTCCTGACCTAGGGAAAGAGATGCTTTCAGCAGGCACAATCCTTCTTGGGACTCCTCCTGCAGGGCCCAGGGCTAACGTCTCCTGCCAGCTATTATTCCGTTAGTATTTTTCTGGCAAATCATTCCATCGGCATTCACTTTTTAAAAATGTTTTGTAAGTTTTTTTATACACGAGGTTTCCAAATACTGACAAAATATGTAAAATTAAATGTGTCATTCAAATGATTTTAAAGATAAGGCAGTTGATTTTATTAGACTCCAGAGGCTTACTGGAGGCCTTTCTCTCTCTACATTCCCTCTCAGGGCCCCACAGAGCAGGACTTCAGGGTAGAGAGTGACTTCAGTTCTCTAGCATTGAACCTTAGAACTAAAGTTTTCAGTCATTTAAATCTTATTATTTAATCTATTTTACTCTTAATTTATACCTGTTCTTGTTCTTGACAACTAGTCTCAGCTCACGTCAGATCCAACTAAAGACTTTCACATTACGGAGGTCTTTTTCTAAGTGTCCTTTTGCTTTTCAGTAGCTAATCCTCATGGAACCTGTCCAAGACAAAGGGTCAAAAGTAAACCTCATAAAAAAAATAATTAAAAATAAAGCTTGGAGGAAGACAAGCACCTGGGAATCTGTACTGCATATCTGAAATAAAGTTGGCTGCACCACAGAAAGGTATATGGCACTGTCACTCTTCACCTCGACCGGTGGCTACAGCCCCAGTTTCACTGAGTAGTAGAGAAGCTCAACAGTGCAAAACTCAAATACTCACTCTGCAGAGACTAAGATCCCTCTGTTCTCACCTAGGCTCTACTCCCTGAACATGTTCCTCCTAGAGCTTTGCCCACATTGGGTTCTGTGCTGGATACTTCAATGATTGGAGCCCGTCAGTGGCTAATGGCATCCCCACATCAGTGGTTTCATAGTGTTCTAAATGATTTAGCAAACCTGATCTTATTCACTATCATTTGCCAGGTAGGCAGGCCAAGACTTATTCACATGTTACAGACGAGCAGACAAGGTCAAGAATGGTTAAGTGGTTTGATAGTTAAAATTTCATGGAGTGCTCACCATGTGCCAAGTACATTACTGTGCTAAAGAAGCATTCTGTCTGCATCATCTCATATAAGCTTGCAGCTGACAATGGATAGTATTATTTGCACTTAAATGAAAAACACTGGAGGCTAGGGGATGTAGCTCAGTGGCATAGTGCTTAGATACCATGTGTGAGGCTCTGAGTTTGACCGTCAGCACAACAAAAGAGGGGGGTGAGTGTTGTGGCACATAGCTGTAATCCCAGAATTTTGAGAGGCTGAGGCAGGAGGATCATGAGTTCTAGATCAGCCTGGACTACATAGACATTCTGTCTCAAAAAACACAACAACAAAAGAACAAGCTTAGAGGGAATGTAACTTGTCTAAAGCTTTTAAGTGGCAGAGATAAAATTCAGACCCAGTGAATCACACACTGGAATGTTTAATATATGACCAACTCATTCCCATAGCCTTTAGTGTGTCAGGGAATACTTCATGAAGTGGAGAACGTGCTCACAGAATTTTGTTGCTAGCACCATGGACTAGGAAGATGTGTATCCAATGGAACTGAGGTATTAAGGGAGATAGTGGTATGGTCCCCTCATACTGAAGGTGCACAGTAAAGTTGTTGAGTGTAGTGGGCCACGCTTGTGATCCTAGCACTCAGGAGGCAGGAGGAGCCACAAGTTTGAGGCTAGCCTGGGCACCGTACTGTAGTGAGTTAAAAGCCAACCTAGACTACATAGAGACACCCTGCATCAAAACAAAAACCCATTGCTGAACCAAGATGGTTTTTTTGTTGTTGTTTGCTGGCTTAATAGCTTTGAGCTCTTTTTTATTAAATTCCTACTGGGGAGTTGGTATGTGTATATAACACGTTTTTTTCCTCTTCCCCTCTCCATCTCTTGGTCCCCTTCCCTTTTGCAAAAGATCTCTCCCTTTTTCCTATTATCTATCTTCTGTTTTTGCTTTTTATTTATGTTTTGGGTTTCTTGTCTAAGAGAAACCATGCAATATTTAAGCTTGTGTGTTCGTTTTTATTTCACTTACTATTACGGTCTCTAGGTGCCTACAAATGACTCATTTATCCTTTATGGCAGAGTAGTACTCAACTGTGTGCAAATACATTTTATTTATCCATTTATCTGTTGATGAACATATTTGTTTTTTGAGACAAAGTCTCACTATGTAGCCCAGGCTGGCCTTGAACTCACAATTCTCCTACCTCAGCCTCCTGAGTGCTGAGATTACAAGTATGCACCATTCCTGGCTCTCAATGAAGTTTTAAAAATGTTCATTCTGCTAGATGAAGAGGAAATCTGCAAAATGGCTTTAACTTGGCCTTCATTTGGAGAGGTAGCTAATCTGCTTGAGTCCAGAGATGATGGGACACACCCAGTGGGGGCAAAGAGAGAGCACTAATTTTGAGTGCTGGGGATTGGACTCGGGGCCTTCACACTGAGCTACCTCCCAGCCCTTTTGGGTTGTTTGTTTTTTGAGACAGTGTCTCGATAAATTGGCCATGCTGGGCTCAAACTTGCCATCCTCCTCCCTCAGCCTCACAGAGTGCTGAGATCACAGGCGTTGCAACACCACACCTGGTCCAGAAGAAGTAATTTCAAAGTGTAACTGGATTACAATTATCTTGTAAGCCCATATCCACCACTACATCTGAAACCCTGACACTAAGCCACTGCATTATGAAAAATATGGTGGCCAGTTTCTCTCTTCAGCCCATGTCATCATCAGCTATGCAATTTAAGAGAATCTGTACATTAGTTTACAATTGAGTTTCTTCTGGTCAGCTGATAACCTTCTATAAACAAGGTCTGTTTCCTGCCTTAGGTATTTCTTTAAATATATAAATCAAGTCAGAATGTTTCCTAAATTAAAAATCTTTATCACTCTTTCAGCAAATAAGGTGCTATGGTTCAGTGTGGTCTGAGTTTTCCCCACAAAGATCCACTGACAGGAGACTTGGTCCACAGCGTGGTGCTCCTAGGTGACAGCAGAACCCTTGGGAGGCCACTGTAAGGTCCTTCCGCTGAGGTGTGTCCTCAGCAGGTCGTTCTTGAGAAGGCATCGATGTAAAGCTTGAGTCTGGTCCCACCCAACTTTCCCTCCTTCTCCTGGTTTGAGATGCAACCACCTATTCCCAAACATGCTCCTGGCATTGCCACCTACCATGTGACCTGGCCAAGAACTGCTCTTGAACTTCTACAACTGTAAGCTGAATAAACCATTTCCTCCTAAGTATCCTGTGTTGGATGTTGTTAAAGTGACACAAAGGTCATACAAAAGATGACCAAAAGTATTTATTTTTGCCGTAACTCACAGCTTCCAAGAGTATCATGGAATGTGATTTCATGTGTTTGTTCTTGTTTATCTTCCCATGAAGCAAGAAAAAGCAGAAAAATCCCGAAAGGATTTTGATTAAGAACCTATTTCTAACACTAGTCGTGATGGGACAGACCTATAACCCCAGCACTTGGGAGGTTGAGGCAGGAGGATCGCTGTAAGTTCAAGGCCAGCATGGGCTACATAGTGAGACCCTCACTCCAAAAACAAAATAAATAAATTAATAAATGATAAAACTAATTCTATACACAAGTTAGGAGAGAAAATTATAGCTTCATGATAAAATATTTATAAAATAAGCATTCCATTTTAAAACAAAAGCATGAAAAAGATATTCCAGCTTATTTTATTTATTATTGTTATTATTTTTTACAAACAATAGATTTGCTGCAACATGCTCTGGCTCATATTATTGAATTAAAAAATTTAACACATTTCAAAAAATATCAAAAATACACTATAATGAGTCTTAGGACTACAATACGACAATGATTGCACAAAACCTTAAGATATGAGCTCACTGTCTGGATGATATCCATTGATAACAGTGAGAGAAAACCCTATAGCATCTGGGAGAGGTACATGAGATTTAGAATACAAGGAGTTTATGCTGATTGATCACCAAATGAGGGAACAGAGCAGGGTTGACTGTAGCTGCATTTCTCAATCTAGAAAGTGCTTACCCAACCACAAGGCAAAGTCACTAACTGGAGAGAAAGATTAAGATTAACTTGCCTCCATGATTGGGGAGCCTGGAAGGCTCCACCCAGAGGGAAGTAAAAAGTGACACGAGACAGTTCTATGGTGATGCTGCAGACATCACCAAATGGCTTGGAGACTGATTCTTTAGAAATTGGTACATTTATTGATAACAGCCAAGTGCTCTCTTATGGAGGTCTCTTCATTAATAATTATTGAATAAATAGAGGTGAGCCTGTGGCTTCCAAGTACCTGCTTTTGCTGAAGGTCTACACAGAAAAGAGCATCATCTGATAGTCAGTAGATCAGCCGAACCTAACTGGCTCCATCTCCTGGAAAATAGCACTCAATGCAAGCAATTGTAATAGCACCCAGTGATTACCAAGCTGCTCTTCTGTACGCCAGGAAAATGAGTTCACCAACTTATTGCACAAGTACAATCTACAGTAGTATAATAAAGCCCTTGCTGTGTCAGGAGTGGTAATTCAATGACCTGACTATAGTAGTACTGTAGCTTTATGTCATACTACCAAATTTTCAGATATACCGCCACATGTGTTTTCCTTCCCCTGGGGGACTCCTGAAATACACCAAGTATTCCTTCAGAGGTACATGCAGAGGCCAGGAATTCCATGCTACAGATAACCTGTACTCTGCCCACCTGGGGAACACAGCCTCTGGGTAAAGTACTGGGAAGATTACACTCACCTGGAGACAGATTACTGGCTTTCATTGGCAGCCCACCCAGATAACAAATCTATAAATTACCTTGCTGGTCAAAATAGGTATGCGGTGAGCCGGGGATTTAGCTCAGTGGTTCCGGCACCTGCCTCGAAAGCAGGAGGACCCAAGTTCAATCCCCAGTACCAAAAAAAAAAAAAAAGTATGTGGTCTATTTTGGTAATGGGCTATGGCCTTTATACCCTGTTTTAATACAGAGCAACTATAGAAAGACATGAATGAAAGGAAATTGCAAAACATAGTAAGTTCTGGTATAGCCTACATTAAAGGTTTTCAATACAACTGAATGGTTCCCAAAAATAACACTACCACATAAAAATACATTTGAAATTTCAGAGTTCTGCTGACCAAAAAGTACTTTTTTTTTTTTTTGGTGGTACTTGGGGATTTAGCCAGGGACTTCACATTGAATCCCCAGCCCTTTTATTTCTTGAGATAAGGTCACATCAAGTTGCCCTGGCTGGGCTTGAACTTTTGATCCTCCTGCTTCAGCCTCCCATGCAGCTGGGATTACATGTGTGCCACTATGCCCAGTGACTACATTTACTTTTGGTAAGGTCACTGCAGAACTGAGTTTTGAGGTGGTTCCAATAAGTAGGGTGGGAAACAAATAGAAGGCAAGAAAAGAGTTCACAGATAAAGTACTTTTTTATGGTATACTATTAAAGTGGTATTTTCCCAAAATAACTTTGATTTTTAGACATCACTATTCTATAACCCAAAGGTTTGACTGTCTTGAGTAGGAAGATGTCTTACATCACCCATTATGTACAATCTTAGGTTTTTCCTTCATTTTTTTTCATTTTCCCATATAAAAATAAAGTGGCAACACACTATTGTTTCCAT